TTAGCTTTCAACAGCTGCAGCTCATCCAATAGGGGGCCAATTGACATGTGACTAGCACCAATCCAAAACCAGGAAGTTGAAGTATGATTGACTGAAATTTATGTAAAATTGAACTCGTCATACTCGAATTATGAGTCATAAACTGGCAATGTGTCGAACATTGCAACAGATTTGTCCCTCACTGTATCTATCCATGATGCCAGTCCTTGAAACCATACCCTGTTCTTATGCTGGGTATATACCAGTTGTAAAACACATGTTATGACTCTGATTCTGATTACTCAAAAAAGAGAAAAATTATGAGGAGGAGGGGGGAGGAAGCTACTTGGTTTCAGATATTTCTTAAATTTTCTTGCTGAGACCCTGCTCTTGTACTTCAGTCCATTCCTCTTGTTGAGAAGGTCTAAGTGAGGCAAAATCTGACTACCTTAAATGTCTGCCTCCTACTTATGTAATTGAATTATATGATTCTTTTTAAAGTAATTTGTAAGAAGTCCTTGTGTAAGCTAATTATCAGTAATGTGTGATTTCTCTATCATTTCAGGTTACGGGAGGTGGGGATGCCAGCAGACTTTGTGAACAAGCTGGCACGCATGTTCCAGGACATCAAGGTCTCTGAAGATCTCAATCAGGAGTTCAAAGAACTCCATCAAGGTGCCATAGCTGGTGCGTTCAATTTATCATTGCAGTCATTCTCCTCTTGTAGTTGCTGCCAGCTTATTTCATGTTGAAACTCCTGTGGTTTGGTACTTCAGAGACGATAAACATCAAGATCCTGAATGGTGGAGCTTGGTCTAGGGGATCAGAACGTGTTGCTGTGTCTTTACCCATGGAACTGGAAGACTACATCCCTGAGGTGGAAGAGTTCTATAAGAGCAAGCACTCAGGACGCAAGCTTCAGTGGCATCATCATATGGCCAATGGCACTGTCAGTCTTCCTCTTTTTAATAAATAAAATAAGTGTCATGCCTTCAGTGGTTAATTGGGTATTTCACATTTTGGGACCAGATCACATTTGGGAATGCAGTGGGGCGCTTTGACCTGGATGTGACCACATTCCAGATGGCTGTCCTGTTTGCATACAATCAGCGTCCGCATGATAAAATCTCGTTGGAGAACCTTCGCCTTGCCACTCAGCTTCCTGATGCTGAATTGAGGAGGACACTATGGGTATGTTGTCATTGTGACTACTTTGGAATCTAATGTGAGACACAATAGGAAGGCAGTGAAATAAACTCAGATCTCAGGAAGGTGCAGGAATCAACTTAAAATATGTAATGCCTTGCAGCATATATAGCATATCTTCATTTTGGAGAGATAGGAAGGTAGACTTGTTCCAAGAAAACTAATTTTCAAATGGATTCCTCAGAAAACATCATCCCTGGGAAACTTAACCATCCAAGTATTTAAGAATCAGGAATTCAATGCTTTTGGATAACTTTTGAAATGATTGGCTGTACATGATGATCACCCCATCATTATGTACATATTGATGGGGGATTTGGGGGATATATGATATCTCTGCTTCATTTGGATTCTCTTGCTTTGCTGCTGATGCCTTCAATCAAATTCTGAAGCTTCACTTTTGGCATTTTCCTGATTTCTTTCTGGATGTTTTCTTTCCACTGCTGGAGATTCTGAGACCTTAAACTCCCTAAATCTGTTCCTTAAGATCTCCTGAGAAAATAATCCTGGGGAGACATGTCAGGAAAGTGTGGGGGTCATTATTGTTTACTAAGAAAGGAGATGCAATGTGTTGAAAGGTATCCTTTGGAAATTTTATGGTAGCTCTTTTCCCGCACACAGCTCTAGCTGTGTGAAGTAAAGTACCATCTTGCTGGAACCAAAAGTTTGGAGTCTACAACTGTCCTCACTGGTTATGGATTTTGAGGAACAAGTTTTCATGATATGTCCACAGGAACATATTTTTTAAGGAAAAATCAAGTACGGATTCATGCCTCACAATAGCAGTTGCATGCCTGTTCACTCAGAATTTTGACCATTTTGATAAAATCTGCCATAACTAAAGAATCAGTGATTGCAGATGCATAACATTTTTCTGACTCTTGAATAACACATTAGGCAACATTACTTTTAATTTTCAAGTCAATCCAATCAAAAATATGGATTTTAAAGCGAAATTTCAACTGGCTTACTTTTTTTGTTTTTTCCCTTTATATGAGGGGGTTAACCTCTTATGCTTCATTGCATGTAACATTGCAAGATTCATCAAAGGTGTCTGAGAGATCTGACTGTTGAATTTTTATCTCTATTGTTTTATAGTGGGCCTGATCTGCCATAAGTCTTTGCCAAAACCCAGGGAAAAGGGACAGAATGGAGGCATAAAACAGCCGTTTCTTTTTTGAGTCCCCTATTACTATCAACCTCTTCTAGATTCCTACCTCTTTATGCATGAGAGTGTCTTGCAAAATATGCTTCAGATCATGCAGATTCAAGCCTGAGATCTTGTACTGATGCAATTTCAATTTTGCCTCCCCACTTGTCACCATTCATCAATGAATATTTGGGGTATGGTAAAAAGACCAATGACTTAACCTAAAAATCTCTGCTCTCACTGGAGCTATTTTTGTGAGACTTTTACTCTGCATGCATGAATGTGTTTCCAAATGATTCTCAAAGAATTATCTTCATTAGTCAGACCAAAACAATACTACAGGAAAACCTCATTAATTCAATATCAGATAGTTTGAAGTATCAGATACTTCAGAGTCATTTCCATTCCCCATCCAAGAAGATAGCGATATGTATGCTTTATAGGACGGATACTTTGAAATACAGATGCTCTGAAGTTTGAAGGTATTTTCTGGTCCCGTGAGCTATAAACTCAGAAACATGTTCAATTACTTCGAAGGGCCCTTTTCCCTATAACTTACAGATGATCTGTCTCAAACCTCACACCCTAAATGACTGCAAGCCAGCTAATTGCCTTGGAAACTTCATTTTTCTATTCAGAAGAATTCTAAATATAGACTAATGCCCCCTTTCACTAAATCTCCCCCTCTACCCTTACCTATATCATGCACACCTTGTATGATCTTCAGTCAAATTTTTTTTCATTGCAACAACACAGTTTCTTTCTCTCTCTGTGTTGTGAGTGAAACAGGAGTGAATGTGCTATGGTGAACAATAGGAAGTACAACGAGTTAAGTATTTCACAGAAGTTGGAAGTTATTTGTGAAGTGGACAAGAAAGTAAAATCGAAGACCGATATTGCAAAAGAATTTGGCATACCACTTTCAACTCTATCCACATTCCTTAAAAATCATGGCACCATTGAAAAGCTGGCAGGAGGTGGCCAAGAAACCAACAAAAGGAAGAGAATAGGCAGTGCAAAACACACTGACTCAGGTATTGCAAAATAACAATGGCCAAACTGGATAATTCGAACCTGCTTATTTCAAAGTCTGTATTTTTTGGTCCCCCTGGATTTAGAATTAATGAGGTTTTCCTGTATCAGCAAATATTGAAAATAAGTTTGATATTAGAATAGACAAGAGCTACTGCCAGTAGTGGAGTGGAGTGGAGGAAATACTGGAGCTTCATCCTTGCCATCAAGACCATGTCAAACTCCTCTTCAAATCAAAGTCATTCCTTGGACTTTGAACTTGAGGAAAAATTATTCATGATTTTAATTTTATCAAAGAATTTAGGAAATTTTATTCGTTGTGAAGGAAAAGAATACATTTCATATTCTAACCAAATTTGATAATATGGCCAAGATATAGCAAAAGGAGTCCTTAGATACAGACCCTCAAAGTCATTGGCCTGCTTTGCCATGCCTTTGGTCCTTGACTGTCACATTCTCCTCTATAAACCAAGGGAAATTTGAATGAACTTTGAAAAAACTTTATGGATTGTTAAAACTTGATTAATCTGCTATTCATTTGGAATAAGCTTATAAAAACCATCTGCAAGAGACTACCAGCCCAAATAATGAATTTAAAAGAGTTCAACATGGTCCTGATGACCTAGAAAAACAGTGCTTAAGTGTTTATTCTACTACCAGCAGGAGCTCTTGTCAATTCTCAATATCTAACTTCCTTTCAATAATTTCTGATAGTATTACTTTGGCTCAGATGAAATTTTGAGAATCAGTTGGAAACATGCTCATATATACAGAGGGAAAGTTTTGTGGAAGTAGCTCTAGTGTGAGTGGTGATATTTAGGTTAAAAGTTGTTGGTGTTGGTATTTTTTTTGCCATACTCAGTACATTTTGCTGGATTGATTCACCATTGATGATTCTGGTTGATTCTGCATTGTTTTGAAAACCATCATTATGACAATGCTGGTTTTAAGTATGAAATAAGTGGGGTGGCTTGGTGACATTTTACACACAAGAGTATGAACTCAGCCCAATATTGCTCCATTAGCATTCATTTGCCAAGTCTGCAGCTGTTTCAAGCCATCCCACCATTTCAAGTCATGGTACTCTATGGTACCAATTTCTTGTGGTTCATAGCATAGCAAAGAGCTTAGTTTTGAATTTGGTCCATGGGGAAAGTTTGACTAAATGTTTAATGCTTAGATAAAGACTAATGATTTTATTGAATGCATGCTATGACTACAATTACTGTTAGCCTACTAATCCTGACCTTCCTAAGGATAACATATCAATGGGATGTATTATGGCAGTTACCTATCACCTTGGGTTTGTCGGCTTGAGCTTGTAGTTATGCAGATCTTACCACTGATCTCAGATCATAGATCTGATATTGCTCTCTTCTGTCCTTGAAACAATTTCCTCTTCAAGACTGAATGTTCTAAACTTCTTATTACTTTTAATACTCATGCCATATCTCTTTATGCTCTTTTTCATTTATTACTGTCATTGCTTGCCTTGCATGACTTATGAAAAAAATGCACTAGCACTAACAGTCTTGTATGTGTCCTTGTCTCACCAAATCATGACAATTGCTGTTCCAAAACCCTATTTATCATGATCAGAAGACTAAAGCTGCTACCTTTTCTGGGTTGTCCAAAAACCAACTGCTCTCTAATGCCTGAACAAATCTGTATCTACTCTCTAATGTCAAAAAGGGTGTGCAGGTGAAAGGATTGAAATCCTTTCATTTTGATTTGTTGTGATTTTGCAGAGCTTGGTGTCATTCCCAAAGGTGAAGCGTCAGGTTCTTCTCTATGAGCCAGAAGTCAGCAGTGCCAAGGACTTTACAGAGGGGTCTCTCTTCTGGGTGAACCAGGAGTTTGCCATTGTGAAGAATGGGCGAACACTCCCACGTGGACGTCTCAACCTCATTGGGCGCCTCCAGCTGAGCACTGAGCGTAGCCTTGAGGAGGACAATGAGGGTATAGTCCGCCTAAGGATCCTCCGCACACAGGAAGCCATCGTTAAGATCATGAAAATGCGCAAGAGCATTACCAATGCCCAGCTCCAGACAGAGCTGGTGGACATTCTCCGAAACATGTTCATCCCGTCCCGCAAGCTGATTAAGGAGCAGATTGAGTGGCTCATTGAGCAGAAGTATATCCGTCGCCATGAGTCAGACATGAACACATTTGTCTACATTGCTTGAGGAGAAAATGAAATCTCATGATGCAGATGTAATGTGATGAGGTAAATCATCTCTCTCTGACTGGAGATCGGTCAACCTACATGGAAGCAGGATATTGGAAAATATTTATCCAGAATTTGCAAGATTCAGTTGGTTGGAGGCTAAGCAGCAAGCAGCCATGCCTGGATACTGTTTCAGAGGAATAAAGGATATTTTTTATCCCCCGAAAACTCATGATTTTATTGAATACAGTGCTTGCAGTCATCCAAGCTGCCAGTAATGGCATGTCTTCATGAAATCTTCATGAGCTAGGTTTCACTATCTCTCAAGTTCTGCAATTGCTGTTACAGTGCAAATTTCTCAAAAAGAGTATATTGGTATGAAGTCATTGAAGTATTTTTTGTGCTGTTGGTGCTTAGTGGAGTGATACAAAAACTCTTCCCGAAGAGCTGTGGCTCTGAGACTCAGCTGATTGTGAGCGAGTGATCTGTGAACCCAGAGGGTTCACCTTTTCTTGTACTGGTTCAAATACTCTGGTGAGCTCATGCAATTTGTCTAGTTTATCATGTATTTGTTTTTGTCTATTCATTTATGGTTGTTCAGCATTGTCTTGTCTCACCTCCAGCCTTCATGAATTTCCTCATCCCAGCAACTCATCACCTCTGCCTTTCCCTCTTGAATGGAGCATCTGTTATCCCAAGATGTATTCCTATCTGAGTAGGGATGTAGTAAGGTTCATGCAGTAACCACTAGTAGAATTATTGTCTTGTGAATGGTGCCTTGTTTCATTGCTACATGATGGACTTGGCTTTCTTGAACTAGTTTCTGTAATTTTCATTGCAATCCCTTGATCTCATGGTTGGTCTTCATCACTAGGTAATGACCTGCATTGCTTTTATGTCACCATCTTCCAGGGCTTCTTTGCATGCAAACCATTTGAGTTCTGAAAGAAAGAAGCAAATTGTCAAGTATGAAATGAGCTATTTTCATGTCTGAAATTAGTATTTTTTTAATTCCTTGGAAATATTTACGAGGGGCACTCCAAGAGTAATGCACGTTTATTTTTTTCTCTATAAGTGTTTGTGTTAGGGCAATGAAATTTTTTGGGGTTAACATTTTTCACTTCTTGCCATTGTGGCTGTATTTTCATCAAAATCTGCTTCAGCGCTCAAACAGGGCACACATTCAAAACTGTGACTGTGCTGAAATCACATCAGAAGCAGCAGGCAGTGACTTAATTTCTGTGTGGAGAGGGTGTGTGGCCTGCAGATCTTCACTGACGACTCAAGGCGGTCTATGGGAAGTCATGCATGGATGAGAGCACAGTTAGGAGATGGGTGAGTCACTCTAAGTTAGGAGGAAATGATGTCAAAGACAGGCAGTGTTTTGACTGTCCTGTGACTTCAAGCACAGATGAGAACGCAGCCAAAAATTGATGAACTCGTCCAAAATGATGGGTGTGTCACAACCAGTGAGATGCATGAGGCTATCAGTATTGGTCAAAGTGTTCTTCAGAAAATCAACACCCTCAGAAGTCATTTCAGGATGACAATCAAGTCAAGGAGGTTGTCAACAAGTGGCTTCAAGATATTAGCAAGGAAATTTACTGCAATCTCATACAAACCCTCGTGAAACGCAAGCAAAAGTGCCTTGATTGCAATGGGGACTACATTGAAAAATAGTCAGGCCTTCAGAGAGCACTAGGCAACTCACCTAAAAAGTTTGGAGCCATTCTCTTAAAAGGTAAGCCAGAAAAAAAAAAGTGCATTACTTTTGGAGTGCCCCTTGTAAAATCAACTTATCCATAATGAACACAATCCTTGGCAGGATCAGTGCAAATTCATTTGAACTGGTGATATTTAAATACTGCATTGATAGTATGGAGCTTTATTCATTAACCTGGATTCACTGTCATACATTTTGTGCCATCATTGTCCATGTGGGGTGCACTCAGATTCCTGATTTATATGGTTCATTCATGCATGCACTACAGACATATGTTGTTGGAAACAAGTATGGGTGTGTTCTAGTGCTATAGGTATACCAGCTAAGGGATGGCTGCTTCCTCCCTCCCCCCCTCATATTGATTAATTTTTACATTTTTGTTAAAATGGACAGATCCAAAAAAAAAAGCCATGGTTTTCATAGCACTCTCTCCCCCACTGATCAACCAAGCTGGACTGGCAAGTAAGGAAGGGGTGCTAAGGGAATCTCCATTGATCCTCTATTAATTGGGGGGGGAGAAAACATTATTCTTTATCCCCTCAACATGAGGGAACTTGGTGGATGTGCTTACTGCTGGAGCTGTGACAAGTGAGTCATACTAGCAATAAGGTATGTAAATGTTCCTTTCAGGCCATCAATCTTAAAAGGTTTCATTTTTTGCAACCCCAAGGACTGCATCTTGGGTGATTGAAAATCAAAACTGAGAGGCACTCTGCATCATATATTGAGCCATGTACTGGAGTAGCTAAACCTTACTTTGACTAGGAATTATTATCATCTGCAAGCAGAAAGCAATCCAAAAAATTTGCCAAATATCTCATGAATGTTTGCTGCATGATGATTTGAGCATTGCTAAATTCAAATATTTTGAGGGAGGGGGGGGGGGGAACTTGGGATATTGCATAGGTGTTTTACAATTATTATTTAAAAACAGAATGGGGTCCAGCTTAACCCCCATAATGGCAGGTGCCTGTTAATGGTGGACATTGGGACAACTGGTGATGAAGAGGCTCTAAAGATTTTTCACTGTGAAAATCAAGGTGAAGAAACCCTGCTGTAAAAGATAATGCACAGGCTTATGATTTTATCAGTTGATGACCTCTATAGGAATCATCTTGGATCAAGCTAAAAATAGATCAAACTTTGATAACTTGAACAGGAGTTATACAGCCTTGATAAAGTTTGTTGAAAAATAAGTCACAATATTCCTAAGAAACCCTCCCAGAGTTTCAGAGATAATTTTTTCCTAGTTTTCATAGTACAGTTCTATTCTTGGCCAATGTCAGCATTGGAAGGGTCTCATTTGATAGTTATCAAGCCTGTATCCACTGCTTCACTATTATCTGATAGCTATGTGTAATGCAAGTGTTCGTAGTACTTTGTTAGAATGGACGGTTTGTGAATGAAGTGAGAAAAGTAGTGAAACTGAAACCGTTTGCATTTCATTTTTTTCCCTGTTGTAATTGTACATTCCAAAAGATTTTATTCTAAACTTGGGAAAGGTTGGAAGATATATTGATAGGGCAAGCATATATATAAAATTGGAGATTCCAATACTTCTGCCACAATGACTCATTTGCTCTTTTTTTCTGAACTGTAATATAAACTCTCTACAGTGATTGAGGTGTGGAAATGCAAGGTAAGGAACATTTTACATGTCTTCATTTGCATTTTATATTTATAATTATATGTATTTTCATTTTGTGTGTAAGAAAGATGTGTTATGATTTACCAAGTTCAATAAACCTTTTTTCTAAAAATGGGTTCCATCTGGAGGAAAGCCTGAGTTAAATACTCCCAATGTAAAAAAAAAAGGCAATATTCATTGGAGAAGCATGGTATAGGCCTTGATCCTTGCACAGGGCAGCGAAGGAAATGGCATCTCGCCGATTGCTGGCAAAAGTTTACACAAGCCACACACTTTCGGCATGGGGCGATCGAATGTGGACATTTGCGATTGGACTCTTCCTCGTCCAGCTGGCTCCTGAATCCCTTCGCCTGACTGCCATCTATGGCATTGTTGTCTCCTGTACCATCCTGTTCTTCTGCTCCACCACTGGGGACTGGGTTGATCGATCCCCTCGCCTTCGGGGTGAGTCTCAGAATTCCTACTTTTTTCTGGACTAAATTGCAATGCTTTTCCTCTATAGAGTTCTTTAGAACTTCATGATATTTGCTAAATACTGACATCTCATATACACACATGTGCACATATGTGCACACAAAATAATTATAAAGTCAGTTGACAGATGTACAACATTCTAGGGCAAAAACTATGCACTCCAGATCAATTAATTTTTTAGAAAAGTGTACATCAGTACATTATGGTTAGAACATACAGTACCGCCAGAAAGTTTGAGGCAGGTTGCAAAAATGATCCTTTTTCAAGAAAAAGACTAACAAAATTTGACGCTCTTTTTTCAAATGGAATGTAAATGATTTATTGTAGCTTTTATTTCCTGAAACTTTTATTTTCTTTGTTATTATTCAATTTATTTTCAAATTATTCACGATTTCACGCAGGGACACGTTTCGCGTTCTATTTATAGCTTCACTTTAAAGTGAATTAATGTTAAAAGTTTTTACATTTTGAAAAGATTTCATCTAATAAATATTATATTTAATTAATTTTGTTATAATTACTACATTTTTTACTATCTGGAACAGTTATACTGCCAATGATCTCGCAAAGTGTATTCGGAGACAGATTCAATTTTCAATTTTTTTTTTAAGTCTCGAAAATGGGTAAAATATTAAATTAACTGTTACAGAAAGAGAAAGAATCTTTATTCAGAGGGAGGATACTCGAATGTTCAGATTGCAGCAAATATGAATGTTTCCCGTTGTTGCATAGAAAGAACTTTGAGACGCTTCGAGAGATTTTCTACTCATGAGAGCCAAAAACAAACCGGCAGATCGAAAAAAAGAACAAAACGGCAAGATATTGAAATTAGGAACATTTATTTATTAGGTAGAAGACTGACGGCTGGCAAAATCACGTCCTTATACAATCAATTCAATGGTGTTCTCATCAGTACTTCAACGGTGAAAAACTGTTTAAAGGAGTTCGGACTACATGGGCATGTGGCTACATAAAAACCACTGCTGCGTCCAGTTTGTAAAAAGAAAAGACTGGATTGAGCTCTCCAGCATAAGGATTTCACAGTCATGATGTGGAAACGAGTGGTCGCAAACGTCGAGATTTTGCACACAGATGGTGAAAGATTTGCAGAACAGTGCTTGGTGCCCACCGTCAAGCATGGAGTTGGTTCAGTAATCGTGTGGGGTTGCCTCGGTGGTGATCAAGTAGGAAGTCTTAATCGTATCGAGGGAATCATGACCAAAGAAGCGTTCAGGGACTTTTGAAACGGCAATTATTTGCCTCTGGCACGAACAAGTTCAGAGGCCAATACGTGACCTTGCATGACAACGATCCCAAACACAGTAGCAAGATCTATAAGAGCTGTTTGGACGAGTTGAAGCGCCGGAAAATGATAAAAATAATGCACTGGCTACCAAAATCGCTCGATCTGAATACAATTGAATTGTTGTGGGAAGAACTCATCGCAGAGAGCGACAAAGACAAACGTCATCCAGCGAAAATTTATGGGACATTCTGCAACTATGCTGGAACGGCCTTCCATCTGCTACACTAGAAAAATTGATCAAAAGAATGCCCAGAATCTGTGCTGCCGTTATAAAAAAATTGTGGTGGTTATTTCAATTTAAGTAAAATTTGAATTGAAAATGAAAAATATTTGCTTTCTTTGCACAAATTTGTATGTTTATAACGTAAACTAAGTAAAATTATGTTTTCAGGAAAAAAAACGCTAGATTTTTTTCATATTTCTTATGATTTGCGAAATTTTCCCACCTGCCTCAAACTTTCTGGCGGTACTGTATATATATATATATATCCTTGCTAATTAGCTACAAACAGCATTTTCAGCTTTCTAATCCATTCTGCATGGATGGTAGAGAGTTCCGTCGGTCCGTCAAAATTCTTACATGCTTGAACACCAAAGAAAATGTAAAAATGCGGATGGGCCCGGACCCTGGATCAGCGTGAAGTTTCGGAAAATTCAATCACAAACGGCAATCTGCCATCCGACGAAGCCAGATTGGTTTTAATTTGCTTCCCACCGGGAATTTATACATGAAATTTGATAGGGGGGGGGGAGGAGAAACGAGCCAATTCGGAGCCAATTTGAATCCTGAAGAACGGACTGGATAGGACAGGGCGCGAAGGTTTTGCAGAATCCGAAACGTTTTTGCAAGAGCTCGACACTCTGCACGTTCCAATTTTTTTTAAATCTTAGGTCGTACGACCGTTTCCTACGCTCGTCATCCCGAGCGATTCTTTAGTCAAAATCTGGTTTTGGGGTTTCGCAGATCGAAACGACGAAAGATGAAGAAAAACGAGCTCACCCTCGATGCGAAGTCGGGACCGCACTGTCGAACGACGAATATCTGGACGACCGGATGGCATTCCACGGATGAAGTGGTTCTTCGAACGTTCGTTCCTTTCGACACGCGTCTCCCATCGATCGCAACTCGTTTCTCGTTCTTCTGGCTCGCGTGGAACACTACGGCCGACGAGTGACGAAGGAATGATTAATTACCTGCCGTTCCCATACGTACCGTGGGGAAACGACAGCCATTGCGATCGGTTCGTCACGACTTTTTTTTTTCATTCCGTCCGTCCGCAATATCCATAGCAACTGGACGACACGACTAGCTGCGAACGTGCCGCTTTCCGTCTGGGTCGGGGTCCCCGTCTTCCACGAGAACATCCACTTCCCTTCCAGCCTTGGCGGATGTCGGATCCGTAGTCGACGATGGGAGAGAGCTGCTGCTCGCGGCTGCGTCGGCAGGGTTGCTGGGCGTAAGCGTGAAATGCCGCATCTGGCATCCTACATTTCATTCTCTCTTCCCGCCTCCACGCGACGCGGACGCGCGGCCCATCGAAAACACGTCTAGTTGTCTGGGATGCATAGGCCTATGCCGTACGGTTGACATTTATTTCAAAGTTGGATGGTTAGGATGCGGCGAAGAGGATAATTCTAGCGTCATAGGGGCCATTGGAATGGCAGATCTGTACCTGGGCCGGTACTGTAGTATTGTTTTTCGTTCTTCCTGGGAACTCATGAGACACCCAAGAACGGAAGGTGATTAGTCGCTGGGGCGCTACATTTGTGTATTCGCCGACCAGACTCTCTGACAGGACCCTGAGAATGAAGGGCCTGCAACTCCCAGCAGCCTTTAAGGCTGCTCCAGGGGTAGATCGAAGATGCCCAAGGAGTAGATCGAAGATGCCCAAGGGGTAGATCGAAGATGCCCACGACAGCCGTGGACTCGACCAGGCAAGTCCAAACGACAGTTCGTCTCGGTGCGTTCGGCAGGCCAGAGCAGTGTGCATTCCTCCCTCCATTTTTTTTTAAATTACTGTTCCCACACTTTTGTTTCCATTTTCTTTGATCGATTCCGTATTTATCTATCTATGTTCTATTTTATTTCATTTATTGGATACCACCAGGAGGATGGCTCTGCTACTTTCTCGCTCTGTCGATGAGGTGAGACAGAATCTTTTTCTCCTCCTCTGCAGCTTTGCATGAAAGATACTCGGGGAATGCCAAGTGAGCATCGTATTTCTTGATGAAAATGGAACTCAAATGACCTGTTTATGAATCCGGTAGTTTTATCTTGAAGTTTTTTCCTTCATTCAAGTCGGATGAGTTTCCTTCACACTCTTTGAAGGCCCACATCCGTTTTTGAGTCAAAAACGCGAGAAAGACAGGGTTTTCAAGGTTACGTTGCCCTGGCTTTCGTCTTTTCGATAGTTTTTCAATCGCCTCGCTGCCATTCCCTTTCCTGTAAACAACTGCTGTGCTTATCGTTGCCGAAAGTGCCAGGAAAAAAAGCAAGGCATGGCTCTTTGAGGATTTAGTCAGCAGGAGAGAGAGCTGGAAACCACCGAAGAGAGAATCATTTGCACGATCCGAGTCGTTCGCAAAACCAACGATAAGTAGATGGAAGAGCGACACGGACCCTTCCGGATCCGATTCCGGATTTCAAACGATGAAAATCGAGTTCATCGGTCGCATTTCAGGTTCCATTTCGTTCCGTAACGCGGCAGCGGTCTAAAGGGAGATCTCGTGGATCGTCTCGACGGGGCCAATGAGGAAAGCCGCCCGAAGATCCCCGACGCGAGATGACGTCACTCGTGCTCGTTCGAGACGATGACGGTCGCTTCCGTCGCAGTCGGCGGTCGGGTCGCTGACACTCCGTCTGGCTTCTCTCGTGGCTCCTCTCGTGGCTCATCGCCTGCGCGATGTATGCGGGCGGGGCAGGGCGTTATGGCCTCTCGCTGCTGCCATCACGCGAGATAAGTGCAATGCCGGTGCGGAATTGGGGGTTGACGAAGGGAATGTCACGACTAGACGAGATGTGGCTTAATTAATGCGTAATTAACGCGCGGGTTTGATACATTCCGTAATGGCATGTAACATTGAATCGACATCGATGCGACGTTGGTTCAACGTCCAGATGTTGAATCGACTTCGAATCAATGTTATTTCGATGTTATATGCTACTAGGGTTGCAGACGATACCTTCAGAACTCTGTTCGATGCACGAATTTCCTTCGGGCATGCGATCAGCTCACATACGATTGATATGCATTTTAAACGGTTAAAGAGATACATTTTAGAGCTTAATGCATGATGAACCGAATGATAATTGACACGAGACACCATATATAATAAATTCCTGAAAATGTCTGTGGCCTCCGCATAAATCGTTCCTCTTCGGACCCTCGTTCTCGGGAAACGATTGCTCCATTCCATCGCCATGTAAACACAATTTCCGTTCCTCGCGAGACGCGACGTCCCGAGTGAAGCGAGGAATTGCCTTGATTTGCGGGACTTCATCGATCGCGGTTTTCTTCTTTTTTTTCCCATTCGCACGACCTGTCACGTGCATATTTAACGTCTGTGGACCTTCAAGGTCAGGCCCGGGGAGTACGGCTCGGCAGCATAAATACATATGTTATTAGATTTATAAGTAATTACGTGCTAATTTCGGACAGAACAAGCACTTCTTGGCGCGGACAACTGATGATCGATGTGATCGATGATCGCCTATCTATCGTGGCTGTGCTGCGAAGTTCTCCGGATTTTCTCGGAAGCGTTCTTAGAAGGCGAAGAAGCGACGACATAAAATGGGTCAACTTTAAATTCGTCTGGTTTCATAGCGGGGCGTTCATGGGAATAAGAGTTTCTCCGTGAAACGTCAAACGGATGCATTTAAAGGATCCGGGGACTCGGCCGTTTGCGTCAAACGAGAGCGGAGTATTCAAGGGCGGTTCTTGGATTATGCTTCGAGGTCTTCGATTCGAGGTCGGTCGCGAATTCAAGACTCGTTTTAACTCGTGAGATTTCGCGAGGGAATGCCTGATTTGAATCGGCAGCTTCGCGTGCATCGCGACCGAAAATGAATGGGTCGTGTTGGGTTGAAGATGTCGACATTCGTTCGACCGTCGACAAATGCGTCGAAGTTGTCGATGAGATGTCGATGTCGAATTCCGAATGCGAGATTTCGACGGCATGCTGCGCTCCAGTTGATTACTCGACGCCCCATCGACTCGCAAACTAATTTTTCATCGATTGAGTCCGACTCTCTTCAGATATGATTTCTCATTCCCCGACAGCTATATAAACAACGTCGTTCTTTTTTTTCGCGGAAGAGGGGACGGCCCGAGCAGAGGGGAGGAATTACTTCAATTTGCCCTCGTGAGACTCGATCGATCGCCTTCATCGCCTGCCCACTCCCACGGTGGTGCATAATTCATGCTCGCCCGCTCGGGTTTCAACGTCACACACGGCACACATCTCAGCGTGTCCAGGAGACAAGTAAAGGACATAACGAGGCGGAAGTCCAAATCAGGCGGGAAGGGAAATTTCTCACGACATCTTCAAGCTTGCAATGCACGGCCATTCGGCGAAGGTCTTTACTTATTTATAGGTTTATAGGATTTATTTGCATTCATTGCATGTATTAATATATCAAACTATTTACATTACAGTCAGGGTCTAGCTGGTTCGTTCCAGAAAAAAATGGACTGAGGGTTGCTCCAACTTCTTTGCCACTGGTGGTGACGGGTGTCGGGTCCGTCTCAGGTCCATGCATTCAACGCCCCTTCTCCCTATGGACTCCCTATGGAGTGGATGGTATGAATTGTGCTGGGGTCGGAGAGTTTAAACATTCTTCCTCCATCCTTCCTCCATGGGGGGTGGGGGGGGGGATGTCTACCTTGAATCTACAGGGTGTTTCACAAAAATGTTTACCATTTTGAATTGCCTTAACTTTTATTATTATTATGAACATTCGCTTCAAGCAACAACAAAAAGTCGCCGAGAAACTCAATTTTTTTTTTCTAGAGGAAAAGAAATGGAAAATGAGCACCTCTAGCTGCAGAACAACCTGAAAGTCGTCGCGAGAAATTTTGAACTGCTGCCTTCAGTACTTCGGCTGAATGCTTCGAGCTGCCCGTTGACTCGTTCTCTCGAGTTCTGCAATATCTGGCAGGTCCCGAAGGGTTCATTCTTGCTGTATCTCTACAGGTAAAAGTCGAGTGGACTGACGTCTGGCATGACGGGGCAACCTGCCATACTGCCACATTTGTCTTGAATGGCTGAGAGAGAGATTCGCTCGGTGGCTCATTTCTCACCGAGATGACATCGAGCGGCTGGCAAGATCCCCAGACCTCAGTCCACTCGAATTTCCCCTGTAGGAATACAGCAAGAATGAACCCTTCGGGACGTGCCAGATATTGCAAAACTCAAGGGAAAAAGAATCAACGGGCAGTTCGAGGCATTCTGCCGGAAGTACTGAAAGCAACAGTACAAAATCTTCCCTTGATGCCTTTGAGGTTCTTCTGCTGCTAGAGGTGCTCATTTTCCACTTCTTTTCCACTAGAACAAAAATTTTGGAGTTTCTCTCCGAATTTTTTTGCTTGAGTGAATGTTCATTATAATAATTAAAAAACTTGTGGCAATTCAAAACGGTAAACATTCTTTGGAAACACCTTGTATTTCGCTCACAGCTCTTTGCACTGAGAAACCTGATATCTCCCCTTTTGTCCTCTACGCTGAGATGATGAAGTATCGAATGAAAGAACTGAAGACTCGCAGGTTCATCGCCGTGATAATATCAAGACTCGTCTCATCCTGGATATTACGTTCGTGTCGAGTCCGCCTGGATCGACGGCAACGAACCGGTAAAATGTCGATAAAATGCCATTTATCGACCGAAATACGGTTCGAGTCCAATTGCGACAGGGAGATTCGCATAGTTTCGGAATCGAACGGATTCATGTCCTCCCTTGAATTTTCGTCGCGAGCGTAACGTCAGGATCGTGAATTAATTGCCGATATGGAGTGCATGCTGAGTGTACCGGGAGGAAGAATTCAAAACTGGAAACATTTTTTTTTTTTTAACACCATTTTCGACACGAATGCCGGTTGAAATATGAAGTATGGAAAAGTGAAGCGTTAGAACACTGTTGTGTCCCGCTGCAATAAAAAAATGTGCATGAAGATGTGATAAAGGATGTGCATGAAAATTGCCTATCGACGAATCCTAATTCTCGGTTAATTCCAGTCGATTGCTTCATAAGAAATTCATTTTCGTCGTAGGAGGTGACGTAAATCGATGAATCGTCTTAATTGGCGCAAGTGTAATTGCGTCGACCGCGGTTGCCTCGTTCTCGTTCGCAAGACCGCGAGCATGCATATTTGATGTCCTTAGACCTTCAAGGCCAAGCAAATACAGCTTTAGAAGTGTTCAAAGAGAAATACATTTATTTTCAAATTCCTTATTAATTAGGAGCTAATTTCGGGCAGAGCAGAAGCTTCTTGATGTGGCGGGCACTTTATATTTTTTGTTTACATCATCATTATTGTTTACTCAAAGTGGATATACCGTTTTTCTTGGGATTCGGTCGTTTGCGTCAAACGAGAGCGGAAAAATCAAGAGCGGTTCTTGGGTCTTCGATTTGAGGCCGGTCCCAACTTTAAGACTCGCTTGAACTCGTCCGATTTCTCGGTGTGAAATCTGATTGAAATCGGCTGCTTCGCGTTTATCGCCGCCGAAATCGAACGGGTCGGGTCGGGTCGACGATGTCGATGTTCGACGTTGACGGCGAGTCGACCTTCGCTCGACTGTCGACGCCTCATCGACTTTCGAACGAATCGTTTATCGATTGATTCCGGCCCTCTTCAAATATAATTACTTCTTCCGACAGTTGTATGAACACGGCGTTCGTTTTTCTGGGAAGAGGCGACGTCCCGAGCGAAGGCGACGAATTACATCAATTTGGAAGAATGGGACTCGATCGACCGCCTTCATCGTCTGCCCACTCCCACGGCGGTGCATAATTCATGCTCGCCCGTTAGGGGTTTCAACGTCACGCCCGGCACGCATCTCTGCGTGTCGAGGAGACAAGTAAAGGACATAACGAGGCGGAAATCCATATCAGGCGGAAGTCGGAGAGAGAAAATTCTCACAACATTTTCAAGCTTGCAATATATCCCTAGTAGCACATGACATTGAAACAACATGGATTCAATGTCGAATCAACATCCGCTTGTCGTATCAACATTGAATAAATGTTGATTCAATGTATTATGCTGCTAGGGATGCCTTTCAGCAAATTAATTAATTTTTATGCGTTCATTGTATATTATTTGTATTTATCTCATGAATTTATATTTAATACATACATTTATATTAATCTTTCTTTCAATTCATTTCTTAAATCTAATCATGTTAATAAACTGCAGGAAATGACCTTCCCAGCCTTGCGCACTGATCACAGGTGTAATACATTCGATGCCCAACATAACAGGTCTTAGAACGTGAGACGGGCTTCCTCCTATCACAAGGCGCGATACGGCCTCGGTCGACCTGGGTATTTAAGCATGAAGGGGCTGGGAGTCGATCTTGGGTCTTTCTAACCGGCTGTGACGCGGGCTGGGTCCGGCTCACGTCCTCGCATTCAACGCTCATTCTCTCTATGGACTGAGCGTGGATGGAGTGAATTGTGCTGGGGTTCAGGAGTTTAACTCTCCTTCCATCCTTAGTCCATGGTGGGAAGGGGGGGGGTTGGGATGTTTGCCTAAAATGTTTGCGCAGAGTTCATTTAGTCAAATGTACTGAGGACCTCTAATACCTTCCCCTTTGTCCTCTAGGAGGGGATGATGAAGTACGGTATGAAAGTACTGAAGAATCATGGATTCACCGTCATGGCATTACTAAGAACTGTCTCGTTTCGAGTTAGTACTCATGTACGGACGAGGTATCTGGAGGAACAACTCATTAGACATCTGGAAACACGTAACGGAGACGAAATGTGGAATATCCAGGATGAGATAGAGACGGAATCTGGTCGGAGGGGAGATGCTCATCTGGTGGGAAGAGGCAGCGGTTAACCCCTGGGGCAGAGCAACCCGGGAATGAAAGGGCAGGAGGATCCTCGTTAGAGAGCAGTTTTCGTAAGTACGGTCGCTTTGACTCGTTGCTGTAAGTAACCGTTCACCGGAATTCTTGCCGGTGGATATTCTCCGTTATCGAGTGCGGACCTCGGAGGACCATCGTCTCGGTCATCGCCATCTCGAGGAAACCCAGGGGATTGCGAATCGGCGCTATCTCTGGATGAGCTTAAAAACCGAGAGTCTGGATGAACGCCATCTTAGGATTAGCAGGGAACAAAATGCCATGGACCACGCCATCGTTGGGACAGACTTCATATTGGCGACAGACTTAATAACTAAGACTCCCGCTCCGCGCCATCTCTGGACAGCTCCGAAAACGGAGACTCCCGGTCAGTTTCGTTATCGAGAAACCCCTAATTGATCGCGTACAAATTTACATCGAGTTCAACCCCTTAGCATTCAATCGAGATTCGTTGTTGGAATTTCGAAAGCCCGAGTTTCGTTCATCTTCGGATCCTCGTTAAATGATTGCTCCTTTCGATCGCCATATCGGCACAATTCATTTTGCACCTAAGAGGGGACGTCCCGGGTAAGGCGATGAATTGCGCAAGTGAGTCGACCGGTGATGGATCGACTGCGGTTGTCTTTTTCTCATTCGCACGACCTCGAGCGTGCATATTTGATGTCTTTGTGCATTAAAGGCCGGACCCGGCATGCACCTCTGCAGATATTAGATTTATTAGGAATGAATTTTGAAATTCGTTCGGAGGAAGAGCTCATTACNCAGCCTCAATATCGGCGACAGCCTCAATATCGGCGACAGCCTCAATATCGGCGACAGCCTCAATATCGGCGACAGCCTCAATATCGGCGACAGCCTCAATATCGGCGACAGCCTCAATATCGGCGACAGCCTTAATAACTAAGACTCACGCTCCGCGCCATCTCTGGACAGCTCCAAACACGGAGACTTCCGGTCAGTTTCGTTATCGAGAAACCCCTAATTGCTCGTATACAAATTTACATCGAGTTAGTTACCCTTAGCATTCAATCGAGATTCGTTGTTGGAATTTCGAAAGCCCGAGTTTCGTTCATCTTCGGATCCTCGTTAAATGATTGCTCCTTTCGATCGCCATATCAGCACAATTTATTTTGCATCTAAGAGGGGACGTCCCGGGTAAGGCGATGAATTGCGCAAGTGGGTCGACCGGTGATGGATCGACTGCGGTTGTCTTTTTCTCATTCGCACGACCTCGAGCGTGCATATTTGATGTCTTTGTGCATTAAAGGCCGGACCCGGCATGCACCTCTGCAGATATTAGATTTATTAGGAATGAATTTTGAAATTCGTTCGGAGGAAGAGCTCATTACTCCGGACGGCTATTTATATCCTTGCTTATTGCATATTCATCGCGTCTACGCGATAAAATTTTCCCTGGGATTTCCTTCAAAGCCTTCTCCTCGAAAGCAAAGAAGCGAGGACGGCAGATAAAGCAACAGACCAAAAATTCAGCGATTCAGTACGATTTCAGTTTTGAATCCCTCCTCATCACGCTTGAAAGTCCTCCGATGAACTCACATGGCCTGTCGCAGTTTAACTTTTCCTCGATCGATCCATCGATACGTACAGACGGACTTTGTTCGTTTAGCCAATGAATTAAGAAACTGAAGTCCCGTCCATCATACCTGAGGAAAATGCCCTAAGAATCAGGGATTCATAGGCCTACATCGGTGAGATCGGTCTCATTCTTCATATAACGATGAACCCTTTTCAAAGTGACACTGTGGCATAACGGATGGAGATAGAGAGCTGGAATTTCCCAGGCATGTAGTCCGGTTCGTGTAACTAATATCTTTTATTTTCTACTTCCCCAGGTAAGACCTTAATATGGACAGGTGGAGCGACGTCACCAGAGTGTCAAAGGACGTGGAAGATGACCCGGAACTCTTTATGCGCCTGTTTTCATCTTACCCCGCTCGTCTGAAAGCAGTCAGAGACACACGGTCAGGGTGAACACAAATTACCACAAGTCCTTGTTTCGATTCGTAATTGAATGCTCTTTCTCGTGTGAGTTTTTTTTTCCTTGCTCTTATAGTTTAGGCTGTGAAGGACCATCTATGTGCAACAGATGGGATATCTATGTCTCAGAATGCGATAGGAAGGAATAGGGCCAGGGGGGAGATGCTTATCTGGACTGAAAGGAGGAAAAACTGTTAACCCTGGGGGCCATGCAGCTCGGGGTATAAAAGGGCTGAAGGATCCGTAAGGACGATCGTCTTGCGTCACTGTCCGTAAGTTCTCTGCAACTCCAGATGTTCGGTATTTGCCGTCCTTAGGTGTGGATTGGGAGGATCCAGGGTCTCGGTCGGCAACATCTCGCGTGAGCCCAGAGAATTACGGGGGCCGAATCAGCGCCATCTCTGAATGATCTTTGAGTACCGGTGAGGGTTTCGCCGTCTCTACCAGAATCATTGGGTCCCGACGACCGCCATCTCTCGACGACTCCAAAAAGTAAGGCTACCGATCGGCGTCGTCTCTGAAAACATTTTCAGTTTCCGGGTTAGCGCCATCGATTGGCGGTTCCTCGAACTCGACGGCAGGAATTGCTACGCCAGACGAAGTCCTATCGTTCGCCTGTTCATGCGTCATGCAAAACGTCCTCTAAAAAAGTCTTCTTAAATCGCACTGGGAAATGTTAGTAGCGTATTAAAAGACAATAGGGAAGTGCCATTCGCCGGCCAGCCATCCAGCAACCTTGAAGCGATCCGTCGATTTCGGGTCGACACACGTGATCTCGTCGGGGTCGTTACGAGTGACCTACAACAGCCTGTCGTAGCGGTTTTCGGTGAGTTGTGCTCACGGAATTTTTGTTAGACTCAGTCGATTCAACTCGATACGCCCACACTTTGGATCGATGATCCCCGGAGCGCTCCGTTATCGGGAGCTCCCAGTTGTTTGTATGCGAAATTTCAGCGAGACCAACGACGCAGCATTCGATCGAGACTCGTGTTCCGTATTTGAAAGGCCCAGATATCGCGAGAACCGGGAATGAATCTGACTCGTCAACGGGATTCGTCCCGATCGGCGCAACCGGCGTGGACCCGGACTGCACCAGAGATTCCGCTCTGGCGCGAAAAAAACCCAAAAGACCTTCAATCTTAGAGACCTCAGCGGGCTGCGGGCCTCCCCCATGCGCTCAACGGGTTCGGTCCAAGGTCGGCGGGAAACAGTCTAGTGCAGACCGCGCTTCGAATGCGCCCCGAATTAGCGTCTGGTTCGAAAATTCAGCGCCATCTCTGGAGGGCCCCGAGTATTAACCGTCGCGGTCACTGCCATCTGAGCACGGTCCCGAGAACTGGGAAGAACATTCGAATCCCGTACTTCTTTGGGACATCAGGTGCGATGGGCCGGATCGTGTGAATCGCCCTCAGTCCCTGTACCGGCGATTCCCCCAGGTCCCAAGGGGATCAAGAAACGCCAGAATGTGAGGAATGTTGCACTTGGTCAACTACTCGTCCTTCGCGGATGACGAAAGGTTCACTGGATTAACGTTCGCACCTGCTCAGCAAATTTACTCTCCTTCGCTCCTTCATCATGAATGTATGCGGTACGTGTTTTCAGAATGTACGGTATGATTCATATCGTTGGATGTAGACGCCATCGCGATCAATTCGGTAAACAAAGGGTTGGCATCGAGTGAAAGTGATCAGGTGGCGTATTCACGGGTTCGATGTGTAACAATTGCTGAACCATCGTCGATTCGGCATCGAATGACAGATTCCAAGATTCCCATAAAATGTTCGAAGAAACAAGAGTTTTCAAAGAACCGATTTGAGCACAATTCGTGTATGAAAGCAATATTAAGATCGATATGTTTGGAAAATGGAATGAATTGGGATCCTCCATCGGACCAACACGAATAGCATCCCATCGAGATCTTCAACCGATTATCCATATTGAGTCGAAACCGATGAACTCACATGGCCTGTCGAAGTTTAATCCCTTAAGTTTTAGAAACATGAGAAGGACCCAAAGAATTTAGAGATGGAAGGCCTTGACTCTGCGACCCAGGATGAGATGGAAACGGAAGTGGGCGGAGTGGAGATCACTATCCAGACTGGAAGGGGAGAGGCAACCGTTCGCCCCGGAGGCGAAAATGTCGAGGGATAAAAAGGGCTGGAGCATCCCCGTTTCCGTGCAGTCTTCCTGGGTACGGTCGTGTGTCTCCATGTCCCATGGGTCTGGTCTTGGAGGGATGGAGGGTCGTCGTCTCTGTGGAGTCATGAAGACTGGTCGTTCCGGTCAGCGCCATCTCTTCAAGGTAAGTCCTTCTCGTGTCTCGACTATTCTTCCGCACCAAGCACCGAATGCGTTTGCCAGTCGGTGTTGACCATTTTGTATTACAAAAGCAAAGGGAAACTCAATGAAAATCCGGTTCATGGCTCATGTTCCAAGTTTCCAGGCCTGATTTTCTATAGATTCCGTTGGCGAGATTTAAATTTGAATTGAAGAATTTAAAATGGAAAGATTTGGAGGGGAACGACGGGGTGGTCATACCATCTCGCGTCCACGCATTCAACCGTCTTTCTCTTCATTCGCACAGGGTTGTTTTTGTTGTTGAAGTTTCGAATCGTGCTGGGTTCAGGGAGTTTAACTTTTCCTCGATCGATCCATCGATACGTACAGATGGACTTTGTTCGTTTAGCAAATGAATTAAGAAACTGAAGTCCCGTCCATCATACCTGAGGAGAATGCCGTCAGAATCAGGGATTCATAGGCCTACATCGGTGAGATCGGTCTCATTCTTCATATTCGGTCCGTATCGATTCGGCATAGGTTGACGGCGACATTCTGACGGGAAATCGAGTAGAGTACAATGATTTTAGAATCGATCGATTGTGATCGTTAACATCAGCTTCTCATCGCAATCGTGAACCACTTCCCAAATTGGGTATCGATGTGCGGAGAGGGTACGGGGTGGAATCGCCCATTTAGACACTAGGGAGCATGTCTTGAAGAGAACATTTTGCGATACGTTTACCTATCAGATGGAGAGATGGGAGGGTCGGAAGGGAGATTCATATCTGGACTGGAAGGGGAGAGACACAGATTCACCTGGAGGCCCAAGCATTTGGGAACGAATGTGCGGAAAAATCTTTCTTAGTCTTACAAGGCCGGTCGTTGGGACTCATTGACATGGATTATTGAAATTCTTCCGCTGGGCCATCCTCCGTCATCTCTGGAGAACCCAAATGTTGAGCTGAAAAATCACCTTCTATGGATAAGCGCCATCTCTGGACGGACGCTGGAACTATGTCTGGTTTAGCGCCATCTCTCGATGAGCATGAAGACTGAGGATATGGATCATCGCCATCTCTGGACGGTTCTAAAAACAGAGATCCCGATGAATGCCATCTCTGGAGAGCTTCAGGGCCAAGAGCTTCAGGTCAGTGCCGTCTCTTAAGTTCTCGGCGAACTAAATTTTTCCGAGCTGTATTTCCCATTTCTCTAGAGCAGTATTTCCCAAACGGTGTGCCGCGGCACACTGGTGGGCCGCCAGTAAGGCTTAAGTGTGCCGTGAGATTTCAGAGTTGACAAAAAAACTAAAATTAAAAAAAAAATTTAAAACAAGAGGGAACGCCATCTTTCAGTAGCAAGCGAGCTGAGAGTAGCACTATCACGCCTCGTATCAAACCGCTGTGTTCGGCGAAGCAAGCACAAGTTTCCCATTGAAAGGAAGTAAATGGCTAGGTGTGCCGTGAAGAGTTCAAGTGTCCTCATGTGTGCCGCAAATGAAAAAAGATTGGGAACCACTGCTCTAGAGGGATTAAAGAACTGAGTGATCCCGATCGGAGCCAAGTCCTGAGAGCTTGAACTACTGATGTACTACCATGGCTCTCATCACAATTTCAGTGCTCGTATGAACCTCGTCTATCGCAATGGTGAGGTGATCGGAAATGGGAACGATTGATGGAGATTCTGAGCGAAACTCTCCTTCATCTCTTGAATCTCCTTCATCTTGAGTCTCTGTCTCTTCTCCTCACCGCGCTTTATGGCGTTGATTCTCGAATGGAAGCTTTTAATTAAAGGAATTCTACTAGCAAAGCAACACATCCTAGTAAATGCAGTTATTATTGAGGACGAGATCGGGCCTAAATAGATTGGTAATTTTTCTCGTTGGTTCTCCTTTCACACCCCCTGATATCGCTATAATTGTGCAACCGTGGGAATTTATCGTTCTTCAGAGTGAAAGCACACAAGTTAAGCGAATCTACATTTAAAAGCAACTTGAATTCATCATGATTGCGAGAGCATATCTCTATTGTGTATGGTAAATAACGATTTGAAGCAAAATTCATGAACAGTTGGGAACATACTCGTTGGTCTTGCGGAAATAGTTCCATTTTGTGCTATGCATGTCACCGGTCGGCCTTTTTTTTGCCATGCTCAGTATTCGATGAGAGCTTTTCATTCCGGTCAAATTATTTATATTACGATAAGAAAATCTTAGTGGAAATTTTCGCTAAATTCGAACTTTGTGTCAGATTTCAATCCCCTTACATCTTCTCGGATTCGTTGTTTGAAAAGTCGGTGCCGTCGCACTTCCCTTTGTCAGTTTCGGCACAAAACTCCATAGTGCATATTGGACCGAATTCGGACGTTCCGGAGCCTATGCAATCGAGCGAGCATATTTTTTTAGACTCCAGCTCGCACCAAACGGCGCCTTTCCCTCATCGGTTTAAAATGCATCGAGACCAGAGCGATGCCCATACCTGCGTCTCGAGGCGCACTCGACCGACACCCGACAGACCGGCGGAGCGACTGTATTGCCGCAACAGCCGACATCACGGTCCCGCCCCCCATTTCCATCCTCGGAGGCTATCGTCGATTCCGAGATATTAAGTAACTAAATCCACCTCCAATCTGCGGCTGCAGCACCCGACGTCAGAAATCGGATTCCGGATGGGGTTCGTTTAGCGGGACTTGCGGCCAGAAGCTTCGCCTCGTATCTGCAAGCCGATTCGCGATGATTTCGCGTTCAGACTTTGGACTCTCCGGTCTGTGATTTTGGGCATTTTCTATCCCTTGGATGGTCGAGCCCGGAATCGACGCCAACAAGGAACTTCTTTTGTCGCATACAACTATAACAGCGTTCGAGAACCTATGACTCGCGAGACGAAAAGTGTGGCTCATCGAATGATGCCTGAAAGTCATGGTCGTTCCTCGTGTTTCATGATGTATCAAAGAATGCATAGGGTAACTTGGGGGAATATGGCCATTGGGGTAATATGGTCCTCCACAAGGAATCCCCTTATAGACTGGATAATTAATTTGGACGAATTTAAAAAATAGTTCTATCGAAGAGTACATGCAATTGTCGAAATGTGTGGACCTGTTCATCAATCCAGTTCCCACAGGAATTCGGGATACATCGATATCTTAAAAGTCATATGCATACGATTCTTTGACT